AACGTGTGATTCCCAACACGGTTGCAGAATCATCCCAGCTTCAACCAGATAAATTCTCTCGAGAAAAATATCTGGTCGAAGCAGGAATCGAACCCACGTCCTTACGATCGTGAGTAGGGCGCACTACCACCGCGGCCAATTCCACAACCAATGGACGGAATGAATCAAGATTGAGGTTTACATATAGGCTGATTCTTGCTGGATGGCACATTAGACGTTTCTGGTCAACCAGATACCGAATCACTTTGAATATTCAATGAAGAGCATATTCTGACGTTCTCTATACAACTGAAATATTTTCGAAAATGCGGTGTTGCCAATTTCATTAGAAAGTAGTATCTTTCATTTTTCAAATGTAACATCCTTTATATAATAATATTTTTGGAATCTACCACAATTACCCGTTAACATTTCTTATTATTCCCCTATACCTATCCTATTTAATTTAAATTGTTTTCTTCGGAAATCATGACCTCTGAAAATGCTGATATATTTGAGTTAATCGAGTTAAGAAATTTAATGGTGACAACTTTTGGTTTGAAGTTAGATGATACTTGGAAGCTTCCCACACTCCAGCGTAATCTCCGTTAATTCAATACAGGATGGTAAAAAATACAGTTTATTGGTTTGCTTGACGAAGTGACAGAAAGTTTATTATTTCGAAAGGAAACCCCTATGTATTGATGCAAATTCATGAAGCTATCGGAGGTGCAATGTTTTTTCCGTATAAACTAAAAATTTCTTAAAATAGAGTCTGATAATTCTTCGAAATTTTAGAGAACTATATATTATGTACAATTTTGGTTTAATCTTCAAAAGATTTTCCACCTGTCATGCTGTAACAGCCATATAATGCTGTCAGGATGACAGATAAACTATTGTCGCAAAAATTGAATGAAAAATATCTACTCAGTAAACAGTAATCATAACACATTACATTATTATAATTATTTGTCCATTTACATTTTGGAAACTGACTTCATTTTTTATTATATTCTTCGTACACAATTTATCACTATTATTATTATTATCAAATAAGTAATGAAATTATAGAAGAATTCATTCAATATTCTTATGAATATGCCTTGTAAATGAAAAATAAAGCATTTTGACGTGTGATGGCTTGTCAATTAAAGAAATAGTTCGGTTGGTGACAATCGTTTAATATGTTTTCACAGTTTTGGCGAAAGAAAAAATTCGTTCTGTTCCACTGCTTCAATTTAATTCATCTATTGTTATTACTTAATTTGCTTTTTGATGTCATTCATTACTTTCAATCCAAATAGGTTCACTCACAACAAAGTTCCTTTTTGGGACTGTGATTTCAGCACATTACCAATTATGCCAATTCAGAGTTATATTTTCTTATTTTTTACCGAAGGTTAAGCCCGTTTTCCGAATCCCTGATATATTTGAGAGGGTGCACCAGCATCATCAACTAATGGTCACTCCCCACACCGTGTGTGTAATTATCATTGGGTCCGAGAATCATGTACCCTGAGCAGGGTCGCATCCGGCCTGGGCCGTATCACTACGGCCTGCGAACACAATGTGTCACAGAGAGGGGAATTATTTTTTTAAGAGCTTTTATACTTCACTTGATTCTTCTACGGAAGTTTTGAAATATACACATTACATTTATTAGTAATTTCAAGGGCAGCGCGTGCCTAGACAAACGAGACAGTAGTTAGTTAAGTTAAGTGACTATTCAGTTCTAGTAGGTAAACAGCTCAATCACTATCCTGGCAGGCCAGTTTCCGACTTCAGTCCACTCGACCTGAATTAAGCAATGGACAGGTGCTTTCATGAATCTTGATCTTCTTCTTATTATTTTTACTATTATTATTAGTACTATTATTGATCTTTTTTAAATTCTCAGATTTTTCATAAAACATAAAAATGTTCGGAATTCAAAATTAATCACAACTGAAACAGAAACAATGTACAGAAATTATTGATAATTCTTTTCTATTGAAGTTGTTCACCTTGCACCTGACAATTCTGATATAACTGCTGTTTTAATGACAAATTGATAAATGTTAGGCATAGATAATTATACGTGTGGGTTCTGACTTACATTTTTTCATATATAACAAACGTTCGGAGAATGTGATATATAAATTCAGTGCAATATCGATCTAAAATATATTTGAGATCTTAACGGGTTTCCTTCTGTATTTTGATGAAACATCTTCAAACGCAGAAAATGACTGATTCTTAAAAATTTATCCTTTACTTTCATTGTTGAAATTGATCAAAAAGTGTGAAGTTTCACAGATGGAGAGTTATTTTCGGGTTTTTTTGACAGGTTTTTTTATGCGTTTCGTCTTCTACTGCGGTAGCCACTGGATTTAAGAATTTGCATTAACTTGACGAAGAATTTCAACAACGAGGTTTCAACGATGAACGAGAATGGGAATGTTTCCTACTCATTCATCAAACTCAAACACATGTTCATGCAGCTGCAGTTTCGTAAGAGTATATTATCTTTCCCTCCAACCGATTTCCTGGAGTCTTGGAAGTCCACTAGATACTCGTTGGGGTTCTTGTTGAATACTCTTCGTGAGCAAAACAATAGCAGAATCAATATTCTTGACCGCTCTGGATTGAATGATTCCGTACAGTCCATCTCGTCTTGTGTTTGTAAATCTTTTGCTGGAAAAATCCTCACTTGTTTACTTTGTAGTAAATGTTCAAGAGGTAGCGAAAACTTATGTGAATTTCTGGAACTTCATCTACCTTTTTCTGATACGACTAATAACTAGTCTGGCTAAGGTACCCCAATCGTAACGAAGTTGAAAGTCACAAACTCAGCTTTGTACAACCCCTTAAAAGAATTTCTCACTGGTTTGAAAAATTATTTAATGAGGATCAATCATTAGCTTATCTGTTAAATTTTTGGATTAGTTATTTATTCTTTCTTATAACATAGGTATATCTTCAGTTTCTTTCATTGTATACTGGCTTCGAATTCATGATACTTGTACAACTATCTTCTCATGTAATTAGGTTACACCTGTATGAGATTAAATAAATAAATGAAGAAGTAGCAGGTTGCTGTAAAACAACATTTTGGAATCATCAATTTTGCTGAACTTGATATACGGAATTGAAACTTTTAGCGTGAAATGAGTTTAATGAAAACACAAAAAATTGAGTTCAGTTCTATGAGTAATAATCTCACTGCTAGTATTTTTTTCAGATCCTTGTCATTGCCGCTACTCTCGCTGTCGCTTGTGCCGCCCCCTCTGGCTGGGAAGGTTGGGGACATGGACATGGAGCCGCCATCATAGAAGCCCCAGTTGCCCATGCAGCAATTGTTGCCGCTCCTGTTGCTTACACTGGAGTTGTTGTGGCTGGACTAGCTCATCACGGGGACGTGATTTCTCATGGGTGGGGACACGGTTGGGGTCATGGTGGATGGTAATTCGTAAACAACAATAAACTGTTTCTGTAAACGTTTTTGTAGTATAGCGGTCTGTAAAGAACAATCGTTGTTCTTCTTGCTTCTGCATTACTGGAAATTGGTACTTCCTACTTATGCCGGTTTATGCATTGTTTTTTTACTGATTTCTCTCAGTTGATGATTTTTATTGCCATGTGTTTAATAAATATTCATTTGAAATACAAATATTTCTTATTTTTATAGTTATTTGGAAAATGATATCAGCAGCTATTGATTCAGATGAGAATTCTAAGCACTAAAAAAATAAAACAAAAAATGGCAGTAGGCTAAGGACAGTTAAGAAAATCTTCATTTCTAAGCTGATTTTCTCATCAATATTTGCTCTATAATAACGATAAAGATTATCTGCAATAGTACTGGAGTTTCCCAACACCAAACTGGTTAAAATAACGGTTTAGTGCATCAAAAGTTTTACTTGCAAGGCCACTTTAGTAAATGGAAAATGTAACAAATGATGGAAATTTGAATAGATACAAGATACATATTTGTCTGATTCACAATGAAGTAAATTTCAAAATTCAATTCAATTCAATTCGATTTATTGTTCCAAGAAACAATGAATGCTTATAATTAGGGACTAAAACTAACTACAAAGTATAATAACATACTTTACAATGAACACGTATTATATCTAGAAAAAAAATACCAATGAAATGCAGGCAAATAATGAAATTGGTTACAGAAAGTATATGTTGAAAACGTGTATTAGAAATAAAATGCAAACTATGAAATTCCACTTATTTTTAACTCAAATCTCAAAATTTCGAAAATGAAGTCTAAAATTCGAGATTGGAGTTGAAATGTTGAATTCAGAGTCGTAATTTCGGGTTTACAGTCAGAATTCCTGAATATCGAAGATGAACGAGGCTCCCCAAGGCGGTCAGTTGTAAAGTCAAGTTTCGACATCGAATGCCAACGAGATACGCCCTCTATCTTTCACTGCAAGGCAACTAATTGTGAACTAGATCACAAACACAACTCATTAATGCTTCAACACCTGACAGCGCTGGGATATGATCCCATACATGGGAAATTTCGACTTTAAACTCAAAATTTTGAATTTTCGGAACGTCACCTTTTTGGATTTTGAAAACGGAAAGGGTTCACTTTTCGAAACGTTGACCATCTGAAGAAAGATAAGTAAGTTAATTTCATTTTTACTGACCATTCGGACTCTTCAGTAATTTGTTGTTTTTTAATAGGTCTATGAAGAAGTCTGCGATGCCATATGTCTATATTTTAAGGATACCTTGTATATAATTTGATAGTTGAACGGCGGCCTCAAAAACCGATTTGGCCCACCTGATAAAGAAAGATTGCAGTTGCATTGAATTTATTCCATATAGTGAATCACTTTGCAGGTTGAGGTACTTACCTGATTTGAAATTATTTATTCATTCATTTGATACAAAACTTCCAGACAAAATTGTGCTGGTATATGGAAGAGAATATGAACATTCTAATGATTATAAATTGATGTTTATCATTGATCTAAAAAATGTTCTTTGACGTTTTTGGCACCATATATTTGTTCGAGTGAATTTTGTCAAAGGACATTATGGGTATTAATAGTTACAAGCTAATTACAGAAAAAGTGTAAACATTATATATTCCACTGCCTGTGCGAAGTTGGGTTTGGTCGCTAGTTACAAATATTTCTTATAAGAGACAAAGGTATGTAAATAAATGACTGTTCACAGCCTCACTATTCAGCTAATTCTTGTTTTTATATAACTTCATTTTATCTTATATTAACAATTGTCTTATTTCAAGCAATTCAGATGTCTCAAGTGCTCAGAGGACTAGAATATGATGAAATACTTCAAATATAGTTGGTCATTGCGTGACATATATGGGCTGAAATCACGAAATAACAGAATAGTATATTTACAGATTAGTATTTATGAATAATTATTGGCAAAGGTATATACAATGCACTATACTTTTTATGAGATTTTCAACTATTTTGTGAACAAACCCATTTTCATTTTTTGTATATATCCAAAACAATCATCAATCAAGGAAATACAAATCGATTAGTGTTTTCAATACATATTTTTATTTTTCAGGTATACGAAACAACTAACGATGATGAAAAATGGTTTCTACAAGTATCCAATTGAACACAGTATGAAAAAAAAAAACTTTGAAAACTTTCGACAACATGAATGATAAATTTGCGATGTTATCGAAATTGAAAATCCAGTCAATAGTAAAAAAAATTGAGAGCAGAAAAATTCTTGTTCATTTTTACTGCAAGTTCGTTGAGAAAATGTTATTTAGGTGCAGTACAATTCGAAACCTTGATTATATATCGAGTGCTTTACGTCATTCTTTTCATTCTCAATTTTTCGACTTGTCGACAACGTATAAAATCTTAGAAAAATGTGCAATACAGTGCATTCCATTTAAAACGAGCCACCCTGAATAACTTTTGGTACAATGATTGGCAGGAAAAATTCAACCATATTATACAGAGGGACACATTTTTACATTTTCACATATGATGTTACTTCTCCTATCGCACCCCCAGAGCATGTCACCAATTTCTTCAAAAGGATCACCCTATATTGTTTCGCATTATCAGATGCTCCATGATGAACAGATTTCAACAAAGTATGAACATATGGTCTGAAGCTTATGGTTCGGGAGCTACAAATTATTTGAGTTGAAAACGAGCCACCCTGAATGAACTTCTGTATAATCGGTTACCTAGGTTTCATAGGTGTTTTTATGAAGTATACTTTAAAAAAGTCTTATTTTGCCTAATTAAGTTTGAATTCGATATTATATTCATTTTGTATTTGTCTCATTCTACAATAACGATTATCTACCAGATAAAGTTACAATTGGTGTTTCTGTTTTTGTGAATTCTTGAGACGCAATGGTTTATATGCTTCGAGAACGTATTAAAATAGTGAGTTTGTACTATCAGAATGGAAATTGTGCTAGAGCTGCTGCCCGTATGTTCAATGATAATCATCCAGGAAGAAATGTACGACACAAATACGTTTCGGAATTATTGAACAAATTTATGGAAACTGAATCTGTTAATAATAAAAAGCATAACCGTTCAGGAGTTGCTAACGATAAAGCTATTTGTACTGCAGTTTAAGGGCACGTTGGACTAATGGAAAATTCGCAATCTCTAACTAAGTTATCTCGAGAATCAGGAATCAGTCGTACGAATGTTTTCAGGATCCTTCATTAGTACAAATTTTATCCATATAAGATTAGACTAGTTGATGAATTGAGCGAAGAAGATTTCGATAGACTCATCGAGTTTTGTGAAACTCTCACTGAACGGATCAAATTGCATGAGAATTTATTGTATAAAATTTGTTTTTCAGATGAATGTACGTTGAGATTGAGTGGAGAGGTGAATCGGTAAAATTGTCGATACTGGAGTGATACGAATCCTCATTAATACCATCATGTTCATACCCAACGACCTCAAAAACTGAATGTTTGGGCAGAAATTTTAGGTGACCACATTTATTTTATCGATGATAATTTGACTAGTGATAAATATTTGTATATGTTGGAGAATTGAATAATACTGTGCATCAATAGAGCAATAATTGAAGAGGATATAAATTTATTCGAAAACGAAATAGTTTTTCAGCAGGATGGTGCAACTCCTCATTATGCAGCTCCAGTGCGACAATTTTTGGATGATCATTTTCCTGGTCACTGGATTGGCAGAAGAGGTCCTACAGAATGGCTACCGAGGTCTCCGGATCTCACTCCTGTAGATTAATTTCTATGGAATAATTTGAAGTCTAAAGTGTATGAGATAGAATCAACAACATTAGAAGATTTGAGAGAGAATATCATGAGGCATTGCAGAGAAATAACTTCCGAGATTCTTAACCATGTGAGGGCGGCAATGTAAGCTCGTTTGTACCATTGTATGGAAGTTGGTGGAAACGTTTTTGAACACTTACTGCAGAAAGTTTTTTTCTTCCAATGTCCAGTCATAAGAGTTCGATTCAAGAATTAATAAACATTCTTTTTTTCATTTATTGCTTCCATATTTGTCTCTAGAACGAATATTTCAAAATGTGGCATCCTGTATAATTGTTGACCTGTTTTTTATTTTTCCTGAAAATCATTGTTCTGAAAGTTATTCAGGGTGGCTCGTTTACAAATCAAATAATTTGTAGCTCCCGAACCATAAGCTTCAGACCATATGTTTTACTTTGTTGAAATCTTCTCATCATGCAACATCTGATAATGCGAAAAAATATAGGGTGATCCCTTTAAAAAAATTGATGACATGCTCTGGGGGTGCGATAGGGAAAGTAACATCATATGTGAATATGTCATATTTTTCCTGACAATCATTGTACCAAAAGTTATTCAGGGTGGCTCGTTTTAAATGCAATGCCTCAAAGAAGCATACGGTTTTCACTAATGGTAGGAGTGATTCAAAATTAAGGTTTATGTATTTAACGAATGGATATGATTTATTATTGTTATGTGTGAATTCGTTGAAATGTGGCGATGTGATCTATGATAAGCCGGGGCGATGGTGCTACCCTGTGAGTTTTATGGAGAATGCTGTGCCTTCTTTTATAGATGTACAAAATAGTTCGCGATGACATATATCAGATCTTTTGAGGATGATTTACTTTACCCATTTTAGGGTCGGCACTTTGTGCCTCTGTTGAGATTAGTGAATCAGAGCCGGTAAATTATTCATATTCAAACTGAACATATTAGCAAATGCTCGTGCTTCGTGACATCGATAACATTATCTTGAACTCTTTTATGGTTATATTGATGACGATGACGATGACCAAAAAATAGATTTGTAAAAATGCCTAGAACACTCGGTAATTGGCATTGAATATACTGACAATCTGTCATGCCGATAAATTTGTCACAGTCATTTTTGAACATTGAATTTTTGATCAAGTGGTAGTCGGACATAATGTGGTGATTGGGAAGTTATTTAGATAGATACGATTTCAATCCTCAGCATTTCACGCACATTATATTCGCCCTTCACACCTTACAATTTCAATTGATATCTCAGGAATGAAGAAAGGTTGCAATTGCGTCAGTTTTGTTCAACGTAGTGTATATTTTGAAGGTTGAGGTCATACTTTCGTTTTCTTCTATTTTGATTGTTGCAAACAAACTTTTATTGTTGTGTTTTGAAATTAAGCAATTAGGATGAAAATAGTATACATTATAGTACAATTCCATAAAAGTAGAAACTGAATTCTCAGAAGTATTATTGCATTAAAACGAGAATTCAGTGCCTACTATTTTGGAGTTGAAGTATAAACACAAATATTACATACGTTTTATTGTTTTCATATTCTCAGATAAATATAATGGATATTTACCAAAAAGCTTTTCAGCTATATTGAGCTTTGATGACATCGGATATTTTTTCACCGATCATCATACACGTTGCACTGGGAGGTGCAGATGCCGTGAGAGGAAATACACTAGCATCAGCAACTCTCAATTTTTTCACACCGAAAACTTCCAAATTATTATTTACCACTCCTGTTTTACGATCCGTACCCATTCGACAACTACCGGAGGTGTGGTATCCCGAAGAACTAGTGTACCTCAAAAAGCAGTACCAGTAATCTTTCGACATGAACTTGTGATTGCGACACTGAGGTAATGGACTACCTATATATTTTACACCAAATCTTCTAAAAGATGGAGTATCCATCAAACTGAATGCCCGCTTAATGCCATCGTACATCACAGCAATATCTTTATTCTCAGGATCGGAAAGGAGTTTCAAATCTATCAGAGGATATTCATACGGACTGTTGTTCTGGAGTTTGACGGTACCTCTGGATTGGGGATTCACAAACAACATCGTCATTTGAATGGCATTTGTATCATTGCCCCAAGTTTCATAATAGGTATCGTTTTGCCAGTTGGTGATCTTCGGTTCCAGAGACGAACGAGCAGTTGGCAGGCAATATAGCATAAAATCTGCAAGGTTAGAGTCATTATTCACCTCTGATTTATACCATGCTACTCCATGAGAAGGAGCTCCTGTAGTAAGTGTTCCAACCCCATGTAAGTAATCTTCAATTTTGTCTTCAAGTGTTTGCGTGGGAATGTAAAGATTTGATGAAAATGAAAAAAGGAGGGACTGATTTATAATATCGTCAGTTAATTCACTGCCAACTTCTTCTAGATCTTCAATCACATCTATACCTTTTTCTCTCAAATGTTTTTTTGGGCCCAAACCGGACAGCATGAGAATATGAGGGCTGGCGAAAACTCCCGCAGAAAGTATAACTTCTTTTTTCGCTTCAACAAAATAAATCTTCCCGTGTCTGGTGAATGTAACACCTTTGACGGTTTTAGTACCTTTATCTATCTCTACTCTAGTTACGAAACTCTCTGTCAGTACTTGAAGGTTTTTTCGACCTGAGACGGGCTTTACAAAAGCTGCACCGGTATCGAACCTTCTACCATGTTTATTGTAATATTGATAAACCGAAGCAACATGATGATCAGGTCCATTGTAATCAGAGATGTTGAATCCTAATTGTTTGTTGGCTTCTAAGAAAACACCACTAAGTTCGTCTACTCCACCTTGCACCACATTCAGAGGTCCATTAGTACCATGGGAGTCCTTATCGTACGTTGTCCAAGGGTTGGTGTGAACAAAGTGCTCGGATTTTTTATAGAGGGGTAATACTTTGGAATATGACCACGAAGGATCTTTCAAGATTTCGGCCCATTTGTTCAGTGCTAGTGGATCTGCACGGCCGTATATTCCTCCATTGATTAAAGTAGTCCCTCCCATTCCTTTTCCTAATGAGGTTCTGCACCTCTGATCAACCATTCCTGAAAATGAAAAAGTTTTGCATATATACCTTGAACTGGAGATTGTATTGAAAAAAACAAGTGAACTTAATCTTTTGAGGAATCTAAAGAAATATAAAAGGTGAAATGAGAAGATGGTGATTTCAGAGCCCTTAAAACGTTGTAATCGTGACCCAATACCTTCTATACAGATCTTTATAGTGGTACCAGGCTAAGTTATGAATGCAGGGTTTCCATTCTTCGGATCTAGAAGAAAATACATAAGTAGGAAGTAGTCGAAACTGCTCTTCTTGCAGTGCGGCTATTTATGATTTCGGTAATGAAATTAAATCCCGAATGACAGGTGAATAGGATACGCTCAATTGTTTTCCCTTACCGCCATTGTGAATAACTAATACCTACGTCATGAAGATGATAAGTTTTTCTTATCCTAGAAAAGAAAAGTGATACGTTGAGTGATTAGGAGTCTGTTAGTCACACAAAGAAAACAAATTGCTCCAGAAGAGATCGTCATCAAAATGGCTAACCAAAGAAGCTGACAGAACAACTTCTATTTTCAAAAAATTTCAAGACTCACAACAGAAGAGGCATTTATCATTAGTACTTCCTCTTTTCTTTGGGTAACAAAATAGTTGAGTCTGAATTAACGAAGACCAAGTCAAAAATTCAAATATATAACCCATGAAAGTCAGAGAAAGTCTATAAAGGACATTTTTGAAGAAGGGTGTTTTGAGAAAAACCAATGAATGTTTCCAAAAAAATATTATCGTCATTTGAAAAAATTATCTAAAATCTCTATTGTGTCTGGAAGAAAATACTAGACCGACGGTCGTAGCGAAGCAGTTTTCAGGTAAATCATGTTTTTTTTCTAGGAAAAAAAAAGGTGATGTTACTTGGATGAAAGATACGTCAAGAGCTTATTCTAATATAAACCACAAGTATTTATACCCAAACAAGGTGGGATAGACCAAAAGCATTGCGACCAATTAGTCCCACATCGTTCTTTTTAAAAACTATGGAGAGGCTATGTGAGCGGTACATAAGAGATGAAGTACTAGTTCACAACCCACTTCCTCCAAATCAGCATGCATATACTTCGGGAAGGTCTACCGATTTGACCCTTCACCATGTGGTTGGCAGAATCGAAAGATCGTTGAACAACAAAGAATCCATTCTGGGTATATTCATAGATATCGAGGGAGCGTTTGATAAAACAACCTTTCCAACAATTACCCAGCAACTACACTCCAGGAATGTACCTTTGGTAGTAGGAGAATGGATACTCAAGATGCTCTCTAGTAGAGCAATAAGTATCAATGTAGAGGACATCACAGTGAGAAGACTGGTCATGAGGGGATGTCCACAGGGAGGGGTCTTATCACCCCTTCTTTGGAATATAGTTCTCGATACCCTGATTAATCACCTCAGCAATAATGGATTCTACCCAATTGCATTTGCAGATGACATAGTTACCATGCAGACCGGCAAACTTGTGAATACACTGTGCGATAGAGCGCAGGATGGGCTGCTCGAATTAATAGAAACATGGTGTAAAGAACACTCAATATCGATCAATCCCGAAAAGACTGAGATTGTCCTTTTCACCAGGAAAAGAAGTTTATCGGGCTTAAACCTCCCGAAATCTTCAAAAGCAAACTGAAATTCTCTGAAGAGGTGAAACACCTTAGTACTATCCTCGACAGGAAGCTAACATGGAACTCTCATCTACAGAGTAGAGCAAAAACAACATATGCGGCTCATGAGCAATGTCAGAGGACAGTGGAACGCGCATGGGGTCTTTCACCCCGTGTGGTCACCTGGATCTACACTGTAATAATAAGAAATATGTTTACGTACGGAGCCATTGCATGGGGACCAAAAGTTCTACAAGTGATGGCCATCCAAAAATATATCAAATACAGTGATTGGCTTGTTTAAACATCACAGGAGTGATGAGAACAACACCAACCGCGGCAATGGAATTAATCACTGGTCTGACCTCTCTGGACCTGTACGTTAAGAAAATTCCCTTAATGGCCATGTTACGATTGCGCACGGCTGGTGCGCGCGGCTGGTAAACTTCGAAGTAGAAATGGGTCAATTGAGGCTGAGCGTATGGTGAGAAGCGCTTACTGCGCAGCCTCGGCTGCAGGCTACTAGTGATGCAATTGAACCCAGGTTTATGTTTAATGAAACCTATGAAATACAAATAAAACAGAACACAGAGTTAGATGCTACAAATGCAATATGCATACAGGCTGATTCACGGTGGATGGCACATTAGACGTTTCTGGTGAACCAGACAACGGATCACTTTGAAAATTCAAAGGAGGGCATATTCGGACATTCTCTAGGCAACTAAAATATTTTTGACAATGCGGCGTTGCCGCTTCTATTAGAAAGCAGTAGCAACTTTGATTTTTCAAATGGAACACTCTGTATATAATATTATTTTTGGAATCTCCAACAATTGCCCGACAACTTTTCTTGATATTTTTAATAAGAAATATGTTAACGTACGGAGCCGTTGCATGGGGACCAAAAGTTCTACAAGTGACGGCCATCCAAAAATTATATCAAATACAGTGATTGGCTTGTTTAAACATCACAGGAGTCATGAGAACAACACCAACCGCGGCAATGGAATTAATTACTGGTCTGACCCCTCTGGACCTGTACGTTAAGAAAATTCCCTTAATGGCCATGTTACGATTGCGCACGGCTGGTGTAAACTTCGAAGTAGAAATGGGTCAATTGAGGCTGAGCGTACGGTGAGAAGCGCTTACTGCGCAGCGTCTGCTGCAGGCTACTAGTAATGCAATTGAACCCAGGTTTATGTTCAATAAAACCTAGGAAATACAAATAAAACAGAACACAGAGTTAGATGCTACAAATGCAATATGCATATATACAGACGGCTCAAAAACCAAAGAAAGCTCAGGATTTGTAGTGTACTCGAGATCACTAAGCCTAAGGATTGAGTGAGGAATGGGAAAAAATACCAGCGTGGTTCAAACAGAATTGGCTGGTATCTCAATCGCCACAAAAGAAATAACCAGGAAAGAAATTTCTGGCATAAACATAACAATCTACACTGATAGCAGACAGGCCCTATTAGCTTTTGTTTTTTTTCTGATTGATTCGGCCGTTACCTGATGAAGATCCGTAGTAATTTCAAAAACTGGAGAATAAAATCGTGATGTGTAGTTTTTGAAAAAAGGCCCTATTAGCCTTGAACAGACAACGTGATACCTCAGGGCAAGTACTATAGTGCCACCAAGATTTAGTCACCCTCCCTACTCTACAGATACAGAGATACCACAAGCTTTCGTCTTATAGTATGAATATGAATTTCGAAAAGTCAATGCATTTCAGTCATGTTAGTAGGAAGGTTTCGAATTATACTTACTCTCTTACTCAGTACCTTTATGCTGAAGGCTGACATATTCGTAGTTATTTATGATTATGTAATATTAGAAAATGTCTACTGTAACTATCTAGATTCAATTCGATGTCAAAAATATAAAATGATGCACTAAGTCTACCTTAACTTCCAGGATAAATTTACCTTGACAAGCTCCGGTTTGTGGTACGCTCATAAAGCCCCAATTGTACTCCGAAAGGGTGGATTGATAAAGGTAAGTGAGGAACTGAAGCAAACTGTAGTCTGGCCATCTTCCAGCTTCCAACACCAATACTGTGAAATCTTTCCTTTCTGATAATCTTCTAGCTATAACAGCTCCCGTTGTTCCTCCTCCCACGATAATGAAGTCGAAAGAACCATATTCTGCGTGGAAATACTTTCATTAGAGAAATTGAAACTGCATCTCCCCATATTATTCTATAATAGTTTCCAATGAATAAATAGTAAGAGAACATTTTCAAAAACGAATTTCTATTCGTTTGCTCTGAAAAGGAGAAAATGAATGTCAAATTTGCCAAGGTCAAGTTACATACTCTGTCTATTCAAAAAATGAGGTGAACTTTCATTTTTCACAAAAAATATTCATCAATTTATATTTTGTCCCCTTCAAAGTATTCTCCTTCAGATATAATACACCTGTGCGTGAGAGGTAGAAAAGTCACAGGGGGGCAAGTCTGGTGAATACGGTGGCTGACGTATGATTGCGGGGTAATTTTTGGCCAGAAAATTTCGAACAAGCAATGACGAGCGAGCAGGTGCATAATCGTGATGCAAAAGTAATGATTTGTTTTTCCACAATACCGGTCGTTTTCAATGTATTCCTTCTCGCAAGCGGTACATAACTTCAAGATAATACTCCTTGTTAACCGTACAACCATGTGGCAAAAACTCGTGATACACTCCGCCTCGGTAACCGAAGGAAACAGTGAGCAAAATCTTGACATGTATCGAACTTCACGTGCTATATTTGGTTGTGGCACTCCTTGGATCTTCCATTGGGACGACTGGATGTTGGTTTCGATGTCATAACCATATACTTATGGTTCGTCACCAGTTGTAAGCAAATCTGGATCGCCTTTGACGTCTTTTAATAACTCCTGATCGATACTCATATGACGTTTTTCTTTGAGCCAAATTCAGCAATTTTGAAACAAACATCGTTGCCACATGCTTCAGTCCCAAAATTTTCAAAAAAATTGCATAGCATGAGCTAATCGATATGCCAATATCCTCAGCAACTTCTGTAATGATGATTCGACGATTCTTCATCGCAATTTTTTTCACTTTCTCAACATATTCATCGGTTGTTGATGTGCTGGGGAGTCCAGGGCGAGCTGCGTCATTCACATCTTCTCCACCTTCTGTAAAAAGATTGTACTACTTGTAAATATGTTTCTGACTCAGAGTACAATCATCGTATGCCACTGTCAACATTTCAAGTGTTATTGAGCACTCAATTCCATTTTTACACAACACTCGATGCAAATGCTCTGACCCATTTTTTTCTATAACAGAAACTCGCCGAACACGCAGAAAGAAGTCTAACTTTTATGCCTCTCACCAACAAACTGTTAGTAAACGTTCGCGAGTGTACCATAAAAAAAATCGCTAATCGAAGGAAGTCAGCGAAATTTGAAAATTTAGCTCATTTTTTTAACAGTCCGCGTATTGTATTCTTGGAAAATGTAATGAATGTGAAATGTTTACTGCACACCCGATTGGCTTCGTCAGAAATGTTAATACTTACAGCTTGTTTAGGTGTGCGTTCGTTAGAAGACTATGAGAGCGAGAAAGAAAGAGAGAATTCTCAAGTCTCTTCCTAGATTTAACAAGCATACACCTGAACATTCATAGTCACATCTGAAAACGCCTGAGGAAACTTCTATAGAGTGAAACACGTGTTGCAGTTCAGTAAACTGTTCACTAAAAATCTCACAATGAAGTGATACTTGAATATATTGTAATTTTGTAAATTTTTATAGGTATATATCGCGACAAACTCTCATATCAAGTGAAAAGTGTTATGTATTAAAATTATGGGTTTGGCTTTCTGCATACAAAAAATGTAGGAATCCTCTGAAAAAAGGAAGAAAGCATTTCATTTCAAAATAAATTTTATACAACGATGTGTAGATTATGCAAAAAAGTAATTTTCAGACACAAACTAGAAGAAAAAGCACTTTCGAAACAACTATTTTCCCCCAAAGTACGCACCATATGGGAAACTTATTCATTAAGGGTTTTTCGACAAAATGTTATTCCTGATAAAAGTTTGTGCACTCCCTAAAACTAAACATTCACTAACAAAATTCAGTGAAACACACGTAATATACGAGGAGCCTCCAAATATTTGATTTTGAGACAGGAGTATTTTGGAAAATTTCGAGAAATGTCAATTAGAAAAGTTGTTCAGCATCAAAAAATACATCTAGATTTGAAGTTATGGCCATCTAAATGGAGTTTCTTTGCACCAAAAACTCTTCAAAACTGTGGTTAACACCATAGTTGTGTAATTCGCAATATTACAGGCTTTTAAAACGAAGCGTCGTATAGAGAATGCTGTCTATTCATTGTTTTAGCAAATTTTTTTTTCGTAGTCCCCATTTAAAAAAATGAGTAAAAAAATTAAACATCACTCAGATAGCCATGACCAAATCTAGACGTATTTTCTAATGCTGAACAACTTTTCCAAATAACATTTTCCGAGATTTTTCAATTTTCAAAATAAGAGTACTTTACTCTTGCCTCAAAATCAAATATTTGAAGACCCCTCGTATATCACGTGTCTTTTACTATATTTTGTCAGTGCATGTTCTGTTTTGATGGATGCACAAACTTTTATCAAGAATAACTTTTTGTCGAAAAATTCTTAATAAATAAGTTTCCCATATGGGGCATACATTGGGGATGACACTGCATAAACATTGAAATACACGAAGGAAAAAATACCTTCGATACAACTACTTCTATATAAACGTTGAATCATTCGAAAAAATCTTTCTCTATTCAGTTTTTACTCCAAACATTAGTTATGTAATTGAATCAGACATCATTCACAGGGTTGCTATACAATGTGAAGGCTATAATCGGCCCAGAACCCTTCTGCGGATTATTAAAAGCATGTATAAAGACATCCATGAATTCATGGATGCAAGTCGAATCGATAGATTGGAAGAATAAGCTCCCAGGAATGAGATAGGCTAAAGAGTTCATAAAGAAACCATCGCCCGGATTCATGGAAGATCTGCTGAACCACAACCGTATGGTTGTAAGGTTAGTGGTGGGTCTACCTATGGGGCATAGCCAACTCAGGAAACATATGAGCAACATGGGTCTGACAGAAGAAACCCAATGCAGGTTCTGTCAAGAAAAGGAAGAAACCGCGATAGCAAGGCTGAGACTCGCAAAATGCGGGGAAGAGAAATCAGAGGCTGCCAGGTATATGAAGGGGTCATTGTTAAGGCTATGAAGTCCCATCAAAGAAATCAAGCTAGACAATGAGCTCTAACAACCAAGGAGCTTCACAATAAATCTGAAAAGGTCCCAGTGAATCAAGTAACGGGCTAGTTCCCCGACAATCTAATCTAATCTAAGGTATTTGAAAAAGGTAAAATTTCATGGAACACTGTCATCCTCAATGGCGGACTTCCGATGTTTCGGGTATTGGATTTTACACTGTCATCCTCAATGGCGGACTTTCGATGTTTCGTGTGCTGGATTTTATTGCCTTCTAGAACACTGTCATCCTCAATGGCGGACTTTCGATGTTTCGTGTGTTGAATTTTATTGCCATCTGGAACACTGTCATCTTCAATGGCGGACTTTCGATGTTTCGTGTGCTGGATTTTATTGCCTTCTAGAACACTGTCATCCTCAATGGCGGACTTTCGATGTTTCGTGTGTTGGATTTTATGGCCTTCTGGAACACTGTCATCCTCAATGGCAGACTTCCGATGTTTCGGGTATTGGAAATTATTACCTTCTCGGTACCAATCTGACTCATTTCATTCATAAACTCACGTCGTTATGTCACGAATGGGTTGAATCTACTCATGCCATCCATGACAGTACGTATTGATATTAATTCGCTTATTTGATTCAAATAGAGCCATAGAAATTTCGTTCAAATCGAAAAGGGTATATTTCATATTTTTCTGTATACTGATAAAGGATTACAAAGCCAAAACCTTTTTTTTCCTAAAATTGATCTCTTCTAAAAATATACACTTTTGAATTTAAACAGTATTTGAACTCAACGTATGTATTTTATATTAAAATGTTAATATAATGAATTGAAGTGTTTGATGCAATGTGTTTCTTTTTCTAAGTTAGTAAATGAAAGTTTATATACAACTACTGAAGTATTCTTCAAAAAATATTTTGTAATTGATTAATTTCGATAGTATTGCCCTCAAAATGGTCAAAAATATCAAGTATCATGTAAATAACTTGTGATATATTTTTGGAAATGATTCAGTGAGGTAACTTCGAAAATTGGAAAAGACAAATTTCCATCGAACAAAAACGGTAATGCCGTCCTTAATAATATTCATTTATTTTCCTAAAGAAAATTGAAACAAAAATTCAATCTGTCTCGAGAGTTTTCAATAATATTACTTAAACAAATGTACACCCTACTTAATGTACGTATGGATATCAAACAGCATTTCGAAATAGATCGTACACATTTTTTTATTTTGAAATACTACATCAGCTCTGTCATTTTTTCATTTATTCGAATTTCGTTCTGTTGAGGTTCAAATATTGTATCTCCATGTATGATTATTCATGCTAATAATTATAGAAGTTCCTCAATGAATTCTATAATTATGATCATGGGTAGTGTTATTGATTTTCATCAAGTAACGGATCAGAGTATTCATAATTCATATTTGATACTTCGATAAGCAATAAATAAAAAAAAACACTTGTGATGTTCGATGTTCAAGTCATGGTTAATGATATGATCTCCAGATTAAGCAGCAATTGAGAATTGTTATTTACGATTACCTGTGACTTTGTCGTCAGTTGGTTTATACATGTTGGCGTTGGTGAGTGGTTCATAGGTTGTGGCGTTAGAAAATCCTTCCTCTATTAGTTTCGCTAAACGTTTCACTTCATCTGGAAAGAAAAAGTCAAACAACGTCGTATTCAGTAACAAAATTCAGTCCACTATTAATTTTGCCAGAAATCAAAAATGTACTATTCGTACGTTTTGTTACCTAACAACTTTTTATGTAGGAAAATATTATTGATTTTCCTTCAAAAGAAAGCTGTTGAAATTTCATGATATCCCACTCGTAAGCTTGTGAGTTATTGTGCTAAGAGTGAAACTACTTTTGATGTTTTACTTTTACACGGTTTTTTGATGAGAAAAAATACTTGTGATGCACTGTTTGGAACCTTTGGTGTAGTAATGAATATTACTGGAGTTTTTTCCCAACACCAAATCGTTATTTTTAACACCTCGACTCGTGTTTCGATCACCAAGTGATCATCATCAAGATGAAGATTGAACTATTTAATCTTCCTTCCACTTTACATAAAAAAATCAAACGTTGATTTCTGCATGACAAAATTAAATCATTATTGTCGAAGAAATATGTCCAATTCATCAGTTACCTACTTGTCATTTACTTCCCAAAATAACTTTCTGTAAAAATATTATCTAGTTTTTTTGTACGGCGAAATTGGTACACTTAATGAACCCAAGTAATCGTGTGGTAAAAACAAAGCGAAACACACTAATGACAACCATGTCAAAATAAAAATTATGGAAATTTTAGAAACAATTGGATACAACAATTTTTAGATTCACAGATGCAAATAAAAAAACACATCAATCATTATAAACAAGAAAACTCCTTATTCGTTTCGTACCTACTTTGATTCAGTTTTGTCGCTTAATTTCGTTCACATATAAATTTCACTGCATACTTATGTGTCAACTCATTTTTGAAACTGATTGAGTTTTTCACAATAACTTTTTATTTTTTATTCCTATGTCCAATTTTCTGTTCGATACTTTTGTCGCAAAATGGTGTCTAGTTGAAGTTGAGTTGATGGCAGTTATTAACATAACCTAGTCAGAACACGACATTAATGACCATAACAATCGATGACGTTGACACCGAGAAAAACTAGAAATTTCATATCTTAATGCAGATTGGTTCAGAGACAATCTTTACTCAATGTGACAGTCAATAAGAAACAAATGTTAGGTAAACCCATGCATTAGGTTTCATTCACTGAAAAGGTAAATGTGCTATTATCGGTCAACGTACCAGAAATCGCACATTTCAATAAGACCTCGTTCATCCTCAGTTTCGACTACTGAGGGTTGTCAATCGTGAGGGGGCAACAGCTGGTTGACAAAAACACATTTACAGAGGCATTTCTAATTTCTATTCGATATAGTTTGACAGCTGTGTACTAAAATTTGTTTTTGATGAAAAAAAGAACGAGTTTTTTTATTGATTTGCAAAAAAAAATCAGAATTTGTAAAAAAAATAATTGAGAAAATTGAGAGTTTTCCACTATCACAAGGAAAAATCACCAGCATATATCAACAAAGTTGAACGTAATCGAAATGTTACCTTCAATGATTTTTGGAACTATGACATTTCAAAAATAGAAATAATTCTGACCTTGGAAGTCATACTTTCAACGAACAAAACGTGTCTACTGATGAAAAAGCTGAGCTTTCTACAAAACGTTTTTTGTCTGTTTATGCTCCTACCAAAACTAAATTCAACGTAGATTTCTCATGGTGTTATATGAAATAATATCCACGTAGGTAATCACAGAAATTACAGAGGGCTGGGATAAATTAAACTTTGGAAAGTAACTCCAGAAAGTCCATTTCTCCCTAAATACATTCTCAAGACTTGCAATGCATGTCTGAAAAGGTCTATACTGTAGGTTTAAAATTTTATTGACACAACTGAAGATTGAAAATAACTGCAATTACCTCAACACCTATATTGGGAAATATAATGGAAATAGAAAATTATTGTAGGTTATTTATGATATAATGATGGTTCGAACAAATAGCATATTTAAAATTACACAATAATAGAGACAATTATATAACACCACGATAACATGGTTTTCTGTGAAGTTGATCGATTTTTATAATTCTGAAAATTTTTACCAATAATACTTATACAGTGTGACCCATTTTTAATGGAAACACCCTCCTAAAATTTGAAGTTGTAAATCGATTTCAATTATTTTTTTAATGCCAAGTACTGAAAGGTCTTCCTTGGGACAAAATTTGAATTGTTTGTTAAAGTTTCAGGGCATACTAGGGCATCCCGAAAATCGGGATTTTTTATTAGCGATTTTTTTATTGGAAAAAATCACTATGCCACTGAATTCAGAGTGCCTCTAACTAGGTGTGACCAAAATATCATAAAAAAATATTCATTATTAACAAAGTTAAGACAACTCAAAAATTCGAAAACTCACACAGCTAACAGTCACAATATATCTTTTTTTATGATTTCAACAATAAAGTACCGCCAGATGAAAAGAAAAACAAATAGTGTAAATATTTTTAATGAAAATAACGGAATTACATTAACACAATCCAACTAACAATGAAGCAAAAATTTTAATAAACGTAACTAATAACTAATTATTGAAATGTTTCGATTCAGTGCAACTCATACTCTAGTAGCCTCTACTAATCCACCACGTATTTCGATACATGTGTCGTAGCGCTTACGAATGTTTCTGATTACGTTCCTTAGTTCTTGAGGGCTAATATCTGCACATACCTGTCGAATTCTTGCACAAAGTTCATTTCATCTTTTGAGCGGTTTTTGTAAACCTTTTGTATGAGAAGTCCCCAGAGAAAAAAGTCCAAAACTGTGAGGTCTGGGGATCTGGGTGGCCACGGACTACCACGGCCTATCCATCAGTTTGGAAAATGTTCGTTAAGCCATTGCCTCACAGCTCTGGCATAATGAACTGAACACCCATCTAACTGGACAATTAAATTTGATCGTTCATTGATTGGCAGCTCGTGAATAGCATCCCAAAACTCTGTGTTTGAAAATTCTAGAAACCTCTGCGCATTAATGTTTTCCTCAAAAAAGAAAGGATCAATAATTCGTTCGTTCAATATCCCACACCAGACGTTGATTTTTTGGGAATACTGGCTTTTACAGTTTATTAGCCAGTTTGCCCAATAGCGACAATTCTGTGATGACACTACTCCATTTGTAGTGAAAGTGGCTTCGTCGGTATATTAAATATTTTTAGGAAATTTCTATTGTTTAAATATTCCCATATCCAATATTCCAGGCGTCTTGCTTCGTCGCCTTCTTGAAGTGTGTGTAAAAATTTTGGCTTGAAAGGTTTTATGAAATTTTGGTCACACCTGTTTAGAGGCACTCGAATCGCTAGCGAAAAATTGCTAATGAAAAATCCCGATTTTTAACTAAGGAAAAATATCGTAAATAAACATTTCAAATTTTGTCCCAAGGTAGACCTTTAAGTACTTGAAATTTCCAAAAAAAATTATTAAAATCGGTTTACAACTTCAAATTTTAGGGGGATGTTTCCATTAAAAATGGGTCACACTGTGTAACATTGACTTGAAGATATCTCTTAGCAAAAAGCAGAAAGGCATCAACTTTGACAAAAATTCAACTTGACCTTCTATTTGCTTTGTTCATCAACGACTCACCTTTTGTATTAGAGAAATAGCAATCCAGAAAGCTTTTTCTTAAAAACTACTGTCTGAAAAATAAAACTTTTTCGATTCAAAATCGAAGAAAGGTTAGGGACTCATGTCTTTTTCTCGAATACCTTTAGAAAGAAGTTTTCGATCGACTATTTTGCATGACTCCTTCAAGAGCAGTGTATGTCAAACATACGCGCTTAACTATTGATGCTCATCATCATTGGTTCTACTCAATACAATTCAAACTGCACCTTTTAAGAACCTTTCCAGCTGTAGAAAGGGGTTTTTGTGAAATTTCAGAGAATAAATATAATATACAACGGATCAAATCCAATATAAATCTTCACTTCAGCACAGGTACCGCTCTCAAAGCGTCTAAACAATATTTCCGCAGTTTTTGTGTTCGAATAATCAGTTATACTCACACATAAAACGCATGAATATCAATTAAATTGTAGCTCAATGAACGATAAATGAAATATTTTCCGAATAACTTTCATTGAAAATTTTTCAAAAAAACTCTTTCTATTTCTTAACGAAAAAGTGTCAACTTTGAAAACTGACGAATGTCTTCAGTGACAATTGTTTCTGATAAAATTCTAATAACACCAATTGTCAAAATCCAATTTCATTTATCAATTATTACAGAAATAAATACCAATATGTTGCAGATTATATTGATGTTGCTGTATATCATTGATCACATTCAATATAAAATAGCATTCAAGAGGTGAAAAATCAAATAAAAAATTGCAAAAACTTTGAAAAAATAATAAGGATAAAAACTATATGAAAATATAATTTGCCCACCTGATGTTTTTGGACACGAATCGCCATTGCAACTACTGAAAAGTACGAACAAAATGAAAGATATACGAGTAGCTATTCCTAAAAAATGCATTACAAGCCTTTTAGTAATACTACCTGGTGATATACTGACACTGCAAAAAGTTTCAACTTTCTGGCGAATAAAATAAATTCTTATCAAAAATAACGACACTTGCTTGATATTGCAGCTTATCGGCGAAACACATACATATTTCAATTTATGAGCTCATATCAAGAAAAAACCTTTCCAGTACGTTATATTCCTTTTTATGAATACTAATTGGTTATATATAATATACCACATAATATAATATATACAATATACCTCGCCACCGAGTGATTGGCACTTACTCGGTGGCGTGGTAGCAACCATAAAGAAAGAGGAAACAGAAAATATTTGAAATTTGATAAATGACATTCTATTTCCAAACTTCAAATGTGGTAACGGTGTCTGAGGACCTTCATACCGCCACCAAATAATCAGTCTTGACCCACTCGTCCTTCTGACGAGCATCAGTCCTAAGGTTAAGGGAGCTGGGCTCCAACCTGCTTGAAACGAAGATGACTTTCCACCACATTTTGTCTTTAATTGAGGACCACCTGCCCGGTACTGACGATGTCCAACAGGCTGAAAAAGCTGTCTACTGGTGGCTTTTGAATTGAAATGAAATTGGAAATAATCAGAATAGTATTTATCTTCATCTTTTGGATTTCATGAAATTATTTCCAGCAGCTTGACTGCATTAACCTATTCAGAATATAAATATACAAAATTCAAATTTTTCCAAAAAAAAAATTCTTCAAACTACTGGTAAATGTATATTTCAACTGATTCAGAAGCGAATTCGGTATTCTTTCCACATGATTGATCATAATCCTAGTTGAGATTTCTGTACAAACGAAAGTACGGCGGTGCAGCTGATTCATATCTGGTATCACATTTATTACCAACCGCCATTTGTAAATAATTTGCTTAGTAAAGGTCAATATACCTAGTTTTTGATAAATGTAAACAACTTTCAGAAACTTCCGAACGTATTCCTCTTATTACCTTTTTTTGCATTATGAGATTCTTATTAACATGTGCAGATCCACCCCACATGGTGCTGTGAAAAAGAGCATGATGACTGATATCAACAACACTTTCATTTACAATATCCTTGACATTTTTCAAGAGTTAAGAGCCTCCTATGTCAACTCAAAATCTGATGTTACTCTCAAACATTCCACCAATGATTCATCTTCCAGAATTGAGTTGTGATTTAGAGTGAAGGGGAACGTTTGTCTTTTTTCATTATCAAGACACAATATTATCTTACAAAAACACTGTTTCCTCACTAGAACCAAAAAACTGTTTCGTGAGTCTCAAAATAAAAACCGCGGTAGTTTTTCAAAAATATTTGAGAAATTGCCATTGTTTTTTTCTCATTGGCTCACCTTGTATGACTTTGATGTTGTTCAATAATAATTATTTCAATATTACTTCCAAAGAGAACCAGGTCCTCATTCAACTGAGTATTCACTGAGAATAGAATCAACCTCAACACGGCACCAAAAAAGCTGCAATCTGTTCGTTCTCCAGAATAATTTTTCAAACATTGGATGGACAACTCTGAAGGTAACTAATGTCTGTGTTAATTATTATTATTGTATTGCGCAGGACCAATCATATTTCAATGAAATTGATGATGTACCCACTCAAGTCTTGGCTCGATATCTTTTTTAAATAATCAACTTGTGCATCAAAACTGAAATATTTCTAGACATTCCTGAGAATGTTTTCCAATCTGGTGGGACGTGTCTACTCTAGAATTAATTTCGTTGACAAATGATAATTCGAGTGGTTACCAAAACATTTTCTGCGGAACAAATCTTTTGAAAGGGTCGTATTTCAGTTCTTAGAAGAAATAGTTAAAGGTTTAAATTCTGGAAAAAAATCATATTTATCGAAAGCTTTCGGAAGCGTGTATTATCCCACTCTCCTACTAAAATTAGAAAGCTATGGGTATATAAATATTGGACAATTTGATAGGATGTACTCACCACTCGAACTGGTAAGTAATCAAGAAGCATACTCTGTTCCCTGTTATGGCTTCTATTTCTGAATGCTCCCCCAATCAGTTTCCGTTCAAAACTGTATAGTCTACAAACGACACTAGCTCGTGTTCCAAAAAAAAACATAACACAATGGATATTTCATGAACAAACTCATGAAATTATAAAAATTACGGCAAATCCTTCATTTGCCAAAAAAAAACAAGTATAACATACATTTTCATTATCAGTTTATATTTAGATTAGGGCA